TATTTATCTGCGAGACATAGGAAATGACAGACTTATTTGTCCCTGACCTTGGACTACACAAGCATCACCTTTCCTACCCACCTGACCGTTTTCCTCTCAGCTTCCGTATGTGTCACTTTTTCATTCTGTTTGTCCATCTGAGGATAAAATGATTGAAAATTTGGGCTGTTATTGTGCCTCGGGGCTAGTGACAGCTGTGGCCAGAGGCATTATGTCTTCGGGTTGTCCATTCATCCCATCGTGCCATTCTTGTGAACACACTACCCCAAGAAGACCTTAAGAGAATTCTTAAATTTGGCACAAACGTCCACTTGGACTTAACAATGAATTGATTAGAATTTGGTGGTCAAACGTCACTGTGACCTCACAAAACACTTTTTGGCCATAACTCAAGAATTTGTACATCGTTTATATTGAAAAAAGTCAAAGGTCAGCTTCACTGTGACATCATAATGTTGTGCAAAAACACTTTAATGGCTTTTATTCAACACCATAACTCAGGAACAGAAGGGGAGACATTTGGTCAGATACTGAATTGGTGACACTAATCTCGGGTGCCCACTCTGAAACTGTGCTGATTGTACAGATCCCTTGTGCTGTCAGATTGAAGATGTGTGTGAAGCATCCATGTTTTAGAATTTGTAGCTTCTTTGCAGCAACATCCACAATTTAAGTATTGCCTTCTGTCGTGGCTACATCTGAGTCTGGACAGACGTGGATTAAAACTGCAACTTGTTTGGCAAATATTTAACTTTGTGTAAGTGTCTTTCTTCCATCCCTTTTTTGTCTGTATTCCCGTGCTTTCTCCTGTGCTTCAGCTCCATCCTCTCCACCTCCACCTCTCCTCTCCCTACCTTCCCTCTCTCCGCTCTCACGTGAGACTGTACGTTGTTTACTTTGGCTCCCAGAAAAGCTGAGGTGAAATTCTATACAACCTGAGCTCATGTTACCGACTCACACACATGCACAAACACACAGAAAAAATAGGGCACTAATTGGTGTGACATCTGCATAGACCTTTAATCAGATAGCACTCGATGCTTTGTGTGTGTGTCTGTGTGTGTTTTGTTGGACTGAGAGTTACAGATACAGGTCAGATAGTGCTGTCACCTGAGAGAGAGAGAGAGAGAGAGAGAGAGAGGGAGAAGCATGGACAAACAGCAGCGCCTGACCTGTTATTTTCTTCATTTAAAACAAATTACACACCACTACAGTCACATAAGCAAAGATCCACATATTTACATCACACCTGTGCAGTACCCGTTCAAAACATGCCTGCAGCTTTCTGCTGTCTCGAAAACTAAACATGAAAACAAAACTTTTGAGTACTTCCTCTACCACTGCCAATACCATTATTCCCAGTTAGAGAAAGAGTACAATGTAAAGCAGGACAGTGTTTGCCTGGTGCCGCAAATCACTAAATCCGCCCCTATAAAACCTGCCCAAGTCATGCCACTGATGAAATGCACTCAGCTATAGTATTAATATTTTAAGGCATGTTAGTCTCTTGCTTCTACATAACCACTGCAGTTATAAAGAAGAACATGGATTTAACTAGTGATATTTCTCTGGTGGTAACGTCTTTAGAGTTATAAGTAGGCATAATGTACACACTTTGAGATGTAGTGGCAGAGTGGTGCTGTTCCTGTAGGCTATCCACGCATGCTTATTGACTCTTGATGGCTGTAATGTGTATTTCCATAGTCCGCAAAGCCCTGAAGCCCAACCCCCACCACTGCAGAGTCACAAGCCCCATTTACACTGCCAGGTTTTCCGCGAATGTTGGGCCGTTTTGCCGGCAAGCTGCAAGTGTTTAGACACACAGAGCCGGATTGGCGAGCTGATCCGTGGTGCCCAATTTTCTGCATCGTAGGGTAGTCATATAGGCGGAACCCTTTTAGTTTAAAAAGACCGAGTTGGCCCTCCTCAGCGGGAGCTTGATTTATTAACTGGCTCAATTGGTGATGAAGATGACACCTATTGTGTCATTAATGTTGATTGGCTGAAGGAGTTTGTGAGGATGAGTCCCGCCCACTGAATGCCAGACTGATTGAGAGAGCGAGACAGAATATTGAGCTCATTTCATCAGGATGTTCTTACCAGGCTATGCTAATGCAGTTGACTGAGCAGATGATCACCACATGGGTGTAGCCTCAGTGTTGTCACATTCCAGGTTACCACACAGAATTGATTTAACTTTTGCAGCAAAACTAATGGCTTATCAAATGTAAAAAAAACAAACATTTATAAAACATTTATATCCATATAACTGTTTTGCTTTGCTGTTTGTTAAAAAGAAGACCATAATGTCAGCATCTCCACCCTGTTTGTGTATGTTCCCACCATTCCCAATTTAATCTTAACTTCCCATCACACTGAGGCCGCTGGTTAACCACATCTAAACATTTTGTTGTCGGGTGTGGTGACACATCTGGCCACAGAGACTTTTGCCAGCTTGGGTGCTTCAGCACATCATGTTCTCTCTCCCCGACAGTGGAGGGAGGCTGTGGTGTTCCTTCTGTGCTTGGCCTCTAATTTGAACATAATTTAGATTTTTAATTAGTGTGTAGTTGTTATGTATATATGAGTGCTGGAAAAGGAGTGGGCCTTGTTATGTAATCTGCTGCAGTGTGTGAGGTCAGGTGAGGAGGGGGCTCTGTGTGTGTGTGTGTGTGTGTGTGTGTGTGTGTAAAATATTCATGAACATCTTGAGTGCATCATGAATGTTAATGGGGACATGTGAGAGCACCGAAAATGGAGAGGAGAGTTGAACCAGAGAAAGTAAGAAACGGGCCGAGACGCAAATATTTTCAACCTCCGGCCTCTTCCATCTGTCTGTCTCTACTCACTCTTCCTCTGCCTAACTTTGCGCCCTCCATCTCTTACTCCTCCCACCTCCCACCTGATCAAACCCGCCATCCTTCCCTCCTTCCTTTCCTTACCTCTTGCCTTCCGTCCTCCTTCCCTCTCTCTTGTTTTGTTTTCTTTCTCAATCTCCCTCTAAGAGGCTTGATGAGGGTCTTAGCACTGTTATGATTTGTGTGTGTGTGTGCGTGCGTGCGTGCGTGCGTGCGTGCGTGCGTGCGTGCGTGCGTGCGTGCGTGCGTGTGTGTGTGCGCGCATGCCTTTCACGTGGCAGGCATTAGTGTGTGTGTGTGTGTTGGGTGTGAGGAAACGTGCCATCTCCACGGGTTATAATCCAGTGGCCCGCTGGACACAAAAACACACACTCTGGAATTTAACTCTGCAGGACGTCGTATTGAACATACATGCAGTCTGTTTTTCTCCTTCTCTCTACGAGGCGTGTTGTTAGCTGACAGCCCTCATGTCTCGTTCTCCTCTCTTTCTCTTTTTTTCATCCACATATCTCATTTCTTCTCATCAAACACACACACAAGCCCTCTGTTTGAAACAGTAGTGCAATTTGAAAACATTTCAGCTCATTGCACGCTTTCATCCTCCCCATCGAGTTCTAAAAGACTGTCCATGTGTCTGAGAGGATGAATCATGTGCTCAGACCAATTACACTGTTTAAAAATGGGCTCTTTTCATAGGAGAGACTGTGTGGGCCAATATCACAAGTAAGAAGTAAGAAATATGTTTATCTTTTCACTCATAAAGGCAAGCACCAACAAAATGGCTGTGACGCCAAAAAATTACTTCCTACAAATTGCAACAAAAATGCTGCTTGTGTTGCTCAGACGCTGTGCACCACGGGGATCAGGGTGGGAAATTAGTTTTTGTGGAGTTTGACAATCACGGGTCCACATGAACAGTGGACAAAAAGGCTTCTTAAGTGTGTTGGTAATAAAGAAAAAATGATAGGAGTTGTTAAATGCAGAAAACGGAGACCATTTGATTCCATATGTGCAAAAACGGAGAGACAAAGGGTAAAACAAAACATTTGTTATGTAACAGTTACACCACAAATTATCTAACATTTTTCGGCAAACACAGAGGTCAAGTGATAATTTTAGTTCTGTGCAAATTTGCATCTCGGTGATGTGGGGTCTTCAGATTTTTGCTTTCTCTGTGCCTCTTTTCTGCCAAGAATTACAGAGGCTGCGTTGGTAATTATAAATGAAAGTTTGACAGCATTTTGGGTGCAGGAGGATCATCTTGCTATTCACTGAACAAGCAAGCTTAGATGCATCAGAACAGTGAAAAATCTGATAATGATGAGATGGATGACGCGTGACAGCAAGTGGAGTTACGGATGACTGTGAGCATCACAGCTGCAAGATCGTGTCGGTCAACTCAAATGAAATACAGACTTTGCTCAACCCCTGCTAATGCGCAGCATGAACCACAGTATCATATTCTCATACAACTGTTTGTATGTTATCTAATAAATCAGCGCCCCTGCAAGTTTGGTTTAAGAAAGGACTCATGGTTGGGTGTCATCATGTTACGTAGGCCTGCTTAGCATAAAGTTATGTACTTAAAATAACATGGGTTAGGTTTAGGAAAGTTACCTTAAAATAACTCAAAGCTCACTTGGTTTCATACGGGACATGAACACTGGTCTCTTGGGGGAAAATCATACGCATACTTTCAATATCTCTATCTTTACACTCATCAGCACATTCCTTAGGTGATGGAAGCCCTCATGATCACATGGGTTATAAACGAATTCTGGTGCATGAGGTCCCTGGTAATTTTAGTACCAATTAAATAGGGATATTGATAAAGAAATTAAGGGTAAAAACACAGGCGGCACTCCTGGCCACGACACTTCCACCTCTTCTTTCTTCCTTCTCTTGACGCTCTACCTTCACCTTGTACGTTCATATCGACACACCTGAGAAAAATGCAGTTTTGCTTTTTGTGTATATGCCGCAAAGCTACCTATTTGAAAGTCACTAACTGTGGTGTTCTTCTCTTTTTCTTATCAACCACCTCACCACCATCATCTCTCCTCCTGACCAATTGGATGCCTGGATTGTGGCTCCGTGCTTCTCCACCTGCCTGTCGTCGTTCTCTGGGCGTTTTCCTTTCAGATTGATCAGCCAATCGATGGGGATTTTCAGAGGAGCTCCGCCTACCTTCGCTGCCTTCCCTCCTCCTCCTCCCCTCTCCCCCCGCGGCCACTCCATCCCCCCCACCCACCCTGTCATCCAGCCCTCCATACACAAAATGACTCTGGAACTTACTGAATGGTCTTCTATATGGATTTTTACAGCTTGTAATAGACAGTAAGAAAAGGAGGGGGAAACCTCAATGACAAAAAAGCCATAAAGCGCACGCACACCACACACACACATACACACACACACACACACACACACACATACACACACACACACTCATACAGACACAAACACACCTGACGCACACAGAAAGAAGTAAACACACTCTTGGAATGTACCGCACACTCTTCCTGTGAAAATTCAACTGCTTCCCTTTTTATTTTTCTGGATTTTCTACAAACCTTTGGAAAGCTGATTTTGTCTTTTTCTTTTTTTGTGTTTTTTTTTTTTTTCAACTCTGGGACAAAAGAAAAAGCCGAGAGGATTAACATGTGTTGAATTTGAAGCTGCAGTGTTTTGGGAGGACAACCTGCTTTTTGGACGACTTGTTTTGAGGACAACTGATTGCTGATTGAGATTTTTTTTCTTTACATTAACCTGATAGATCTATAGATAATAGATCAGATTTTCCTTCATTTAAGTTACGACCATAGGCTGCAGTTTGTAGCTTGTAAAGATTGTAACTGAGTCACTACTAGTTTTTAAGTACTTATATATATATATATATATATATGTATAAGTGACTTGATACGAGCAGGGATTGTTTTTCCTTTGGTAGCTACAGGTAGTTCTCAGATTTGTCAGCGTGTTAGAGGAGGTGCACTTGTTCTCTCGTTGCGTGCATGCCCTCCACCATGCCTCCCCAGAACACAGAGGCCGACGCTATGCAGGTTGGATCTCTGGTGGGCGGGGGTAGCGCCAAAAACACCACGGCATCAGGCTCGGATGGGGAAAAAGGGGGAGCAGGAGGCGAGACGGATGGATCGGGAGGCAGCGGCGGAGGAGCGGGTGGAGGAGGAGGTCGAGGAGGGGAGGAGTCAGCGAGCGAGGGATCTGTTGAAGGCATACCCCTGAAGAGATGGGTGATGCACGGGGCCGTGATGTTCGGGCGGGAGTTCTGCTATGCCATGGAGACAGCGCTGGTGACACCCGTACTGCTGCAGATAGGTCAGTAAAGAGGTCACATACACACACACACACACACACACACACACACACACACACACAGATTCATGGCATATGTACTGTATTTACATAAAAACACAGGTGCATCACTCTAAAAACAACCAGAAGTGGTAAATGCCAGAGGAAATTTTTCTTTTGTCACCTTCTACCTGCTGCTGTTCTCACTTTATTCCTGCTGTGCTTACACCCCCTCTGACCTCCCGAAAACAAAGGAAGGCATTCCATCCTCACCCCCTCATGCACGTTATGACTTTTTACACTTTCTTTTGCCGTAAAATTGCGTGAGCAAGTAAAAAAAAAAAATAGCAAAAATAGTTGCAATTTTTGTATAATTCCTTAAAAGTCAGTCAGTGCAGAACTCACAGGGGTTGGTTTATTTTGCATTGATCGTTGCATTGTTTATTGATTGTTGTTGTAGCCGCCTAATTGGCTGTCTGTTTCAGAGTCTCCACAAAGTTGCATTGTTACAGCTAACAAGTCATATAATTATCAGTTAATTTGTCTATTTTATGATTAATCAGTTTGTTTTTGGGATTTATGAAATGTTGGAAAATCTCAAAAAGCCAAAGATATTCTAATTCTGTAATTCACCAGTTTAGTCAGTTATTCAAAGCCTTTCTGTTCATAGCTCTTTACACATTTGTTGCAGTAAAGCCCCTTTCCCACTGCACAAAAAACCCATTAACACCTGCTAACATCTGGCTTTTGTATGTAATGGGAAAGGTTACAATCAGCATTCACATCTGGGTCAAATGACTCTGCAGCAGTAAATGGTATTTATTCCACTCATGCAGCACTCAGACATTGTTTCATATTAATTTGCACTGTGTTTCAAAGAGCTACTGAAAAGGTAAGATATAAAGAAGTAACCATAGTAACATCTTCACTGGCCTCCATGCTGCTTTTTACCATTTACTAACCTGTTTTCCATCCTTTCCATGACTTCAAATGTGACACACTAGTGTAAAAAACAGAAAGGCATACTGGTCTGCAGCAATCGGCAACCTCCAAGGCTAAAAAGTGAAGCCTACGCCGAAGTGCAAAAAACTGTAGTTCTTTAAACGGCCACTTGAGGCTGGCTTCAAAATCAAGTCAATAGCTGTAGACCCTCGTATTAAAATGTTCATCTTAATAGTAGAAATAAACCTGTTGACTGCCTGGTACAAAAAATGGTTTTGGTTTTTATAGCTAATTTCCCCCTTCATGACCACTGTAAGGGGGTGAATTTACATTTTATCCAGGCCCAAAGTTATGCATATTTAAGGGTGGGGCCACTTGAGTGACAGGCTGTCTGTGAGGTATCGCCACAGTCAGATCCAACCCTTGCTCCTCCACTTCAACCTCTCGACCAAATATTGTCACCTCTGGTTCCAAAAACATGGAGACATGAAGGGTTTTAGAGGGTTATTTGCTAACATCGCCACAGTTGCAGGGCGCAGTTATTGGTGTTATACTAATGCAATGAAAGACAAGACAAACAGCAACACCAGTATGTGATGATTGATGCCAGTGGTTCCCAAACTGTAGTGCGTGGTGGACCATGAGGGGTTCGTTGAGAGGGTTCTACTGTAATCAAAACTGAGATTCAAGTAGATTGAAGACAAGGCCATGTTGTGTATGTTTATTTTGGTGTGTGTGTTTTTCCGGGCAACAGCCATATGCTAGGTGTGTAGTTTAAAGGTATACTATGTGGGCATTGTCAGGCACTGTTTGCAAGCAGAAAGAATGGGAACTGATAATATTTTATTGACAGCAGTGCCACTATTAGTTCTGCTTATTGATTTCTTTATTGATTTTCTGTGTGGAAAAACAGTAGCCCAGGCCTCAGCATCAACGCAGCAATTTTATTATTTCCGTGCCAAACCACCAAACATTTCTTGTGGGTCATAACTGATGTTGAGAGGGATTGCCTCTCTGTTAGTCTATTGCTTTTTAGGAAATCCTCCATTAGACTCCCTTAAAAAGAGAAAAGCAGCAAATCCTAACAATGGAGACACTGCAGCCATCTAGTTAATGAAGAATAAACCTCTCATTCTTATTCAGGATACAACCATTACATTCCTCTTATAAGAAGAAGCAATACAAGGTCATACAGAATACAAAGTGTGTGTAAACTTATTATAGTGTCTGAGCGGGAACAGGGCGTCTTGTTGTTGATCCCGATGTTGTTCTGGCATTTCAGAGGACACCTTGGCAGCTACATATATCCCCCCTGCTGTCCACCTTGTTCAGATGGACTTCCACTGGATCTGCCTGGAGATTAGCTCGCTCACACACACACACACACACACACACTCACTCACTCACTCACTCACTCACTCACTCACTCACACACACACACACACACACACACACACACACACACACACACACACACAGACAGACATCCAGTCACAGTGAGCGCGCTGTCATTTGCACCTAGCGTCGTCTTTGACGGCCTTGAAGTATTCACCAAGTCCAAATCTGTCTGGAGTACACCCGAGCCCTCGGGGGAGATGGCGAGGGTGTGAGAAGTAAAAAGGAGGAGAGGACGGGAACAACATGAGAGTGAGAAAGGGAGGTAGAGAGAGCAAGAGGGAGATAAAAGGCTGAAGCAGCCGTAACCTTGCTTATAATTCAAAGTCACTTCCCATGCAATCCCCCCCCCCCTCGTTCTCTCTCTTCCTTTCCTTTTCTCTCCAAATCTCTCCTTCCCCCTCAGTGGCGTAATGTGATCTCCTAGCTTATATAACCACGGCGACATGAGTGGCAGGACACTCTGTGGCCACCGTGACTCCTGGCTGGCTCACCCAGGATGAGCTGCCACAGGGAGAAAGACTTTGAAACACTCGCTTTGACAAATGTTCTGTTTTCTGTTAGAAGGACTGCACTAAGATCTGCCAAATGTTGTAAAGAAAGTTATTGAAAATCTATTATGTTATGGCAGAAGAAGTGAAGATCAGAGATTAATGGTGGGATTCCGAAACAGTTTGTACCTTGTAACCGTAATTACTGCAACCAGATACTAGGCTTGTCTTCTGTGGTAGTATGAGACCAGGGGAGTTTGCTGCTGCATGTTTTTGTTCTAATTTTAGCCCTGATTTAGCTAACCTATTTTTTTAGATCAGGATGTGTCTGAGCCCCTCTTAGTAGATTTTAGAGCCACTGAGAGGTACAACTGCTGCAGATTAGTTCACTGAAATAAATGCAACTGAAGCAGACAGAGCAGTGACTTTGGTGTCTAACTGAGATTCATCACTGATGTGGAGGGTTAATCCAGTCATGTCGGCCTTTTTGTGTCAGGCTAATTGACTGCTGTTCAATCTGACCTCTAATGCTGATCATAGGAATTACCGTCCATCCAAATGAGTTATGAAGCAGACTGCACTCAGCGGAGCATCGTGTTTAATTGTCATACTAAATTGTTGTGTGTTAGGAGATGCACACATTTACATGACTGCACCTGAAATGTGACACGATACAGAGGATTACAGCTGTTGTTTAGCGTGAATATCACAATGTGATCAGGTGAATCAGCACCACATTTGATGTGGGAACAGACCTGAAAGTAGCAATCATCTTTTTTGTTTTGATTTTTTTTACACTATAGGCTGAGAAACAACACAGCACTTGCATATCATCACCTTTTAAGTTTATACGCTGATCTTGTTAGCAAACAGTTGCTTATTTACACATCGAGCAGACGCAGTGCAATATTATCATTCATTTGAAGTGGTGCTGATAGGAAACAAGGCTGATGAGACTGAAACAAAGCAGTAAAACTGAAGGTTTAAACTCGAACTAAGAAATGCTGAAATGTTTTGTAAAGCTGAGGGGAACTGCAGTCGGGTGATAATTCTTAGTGGGTTCAGCTCTTAAAGGATAACTTGTGTATTTTTCAACCTTAACGTCCAAGTGACTAATGGGAACAATTGTTGAAATCCAATATTTAGCAAGAGTGCTGCAGCTGGCAGCGGTGAAACAGGCTGCATTCCATTAGGGGTGTGTTCACACCGTCATTTTACGTCCACTGAAAGTGCTTGTTTTTGTCACTGACAGGCTCAGATTGTTATTCTAAGTATCTGACAACAATATGGGAAGCCATCTTGGTTAATCTCTCCACTGTTCCAGTGATCACCTAAGCTGTTTGGTTGATATAAACCCTTATTTCACCCAGTTAGATGTGAAAATATGCCAGCGCTGTAGCCGGAGTCTGGTGGGTTTGGTGATAGCGATTTTGGGGCTGTTTCTGGTTAAACAAAAAGGATCTAATTATTTAAGAAGAAGGACTATCTCTGTAGGGATCCTTCCATAATGTTGTGAGACAATCATATTAACAATCTGAACATGTTTGTGGCAAAAAAAAAAACACTTTTAGTGGACGTCTGTTGGTGGTGCATAATTGCTTTGAGTGGTGACATTGCAGCCTGATTCGCTGCTGCAGGTTGCAGGACTCCCACTCAATACCGCTGAGTGAGTTGTTGTTGTTGTTGTTGTTGGTCCCATCAATCACTCAGACACAAAAACATGGTAAAATAGGGTCCAGATTGAAAATACCAAAGTTAACCTTCAAGGTCTTCTCCCAGTGGCTTATTACTTTCTGTCCTGAGCCACTTTCTTTGGAATGACGGCACTTTCCTGTCCTTGTTTTCCATCCATGCTCTCTATGTGTGATTGTGTCACATGAATCCTTTTAGAAGTTATATGTCTTCATGCATTTTCCTCTTCAATGGCTGGTTTTGTGCAGACTGATTCATGTTTTTAGCCTGCAAACAGACAAACAAACAGGCCTAGTGAGATGAAAACAAACCCACCCTCCAACTCTGTGGGCAGAGGTCCAAGTTTTAGGATAACAAATATCGACACCCCCCCCCCCCCCTTCTATGTGGTTAATGCTCAGGCAGAAGACTGACTGTAGCTACTGGAATTAGCTGGATAGCTGGCTGGTTGGCTCGCCCTGAGTGAAACCATTGTGTGTGTGTAACCCCACAACATTGGGGTCA